GAGGGAGGGAGGGAGAGAAAGTAGACATGAAGCTCAAGGTGGACGTGGGATGATCCTGAAGCAATTGGGAGTGAATATGATCAAAACGCATTGTGTACACATATGGAATTCTCAAAGAATAAATAAAACATTCTATATTTAAAAACCAAGCCTAATGCTTTTAAAGTGCCTTCTGGTGGGTTGATACCTGATCTCTGGACTACTTTCATGCTCTTTCACCACCAACTGTGACATCATTGGTGAATTTATCATTAATTTTCTGCAAGAAGTAGTACACTTCACTGTTTATCAAAATCGGCCATTTCCAATAGTGATTCTTTAAACATAATCATAAGAATAAAATCACTCTGAACTTAAAAACTGTATAGCAGTTTTTAGGATACTGAAGTCTTTGCTTGCCTACAGCCATGATGCCAATACAACCTTTACATTCTAAGAAAATGACATACAAATGACTATGAAGAAATTAAGTGTAATATTTATGCTAAGGATTACTAAAATAATTTATCCATAGACTTTAAATTCTCCTACTACTTTTAATGTTTTTTTCTTTCTACAATTATTTATTTATATTTATGTATTTTCTATGAATAGCATAGCTATCTTAAAAACATAGTTTTCTGACATGTGGTAAGTAAGCAAGGGATGAAGAGTTCAGTTATGAATGTCCACAGAAGACAAATAAGTTTTACACTAGCTGTGAGATTATTTAGGGTGAAATGAATTACAAATAGTCACTATAAACAACTTTATTTTATGATTAAAATCAACAGTCTCTGAAATGCTGTGCTCTCCAATCATCAATCTCTACTGCAGTTCTTTAACTCTTCCTCCCTGGGCACATTGATGTTTTTCCCTATTACTTGGATCATAGAAAATCAATTCTCTGCCTGCTGCTCCACTCAGACGTCTCCCCAGGGCCAGATGTCCTGTGTTCACCTTCTGATACTATAAATGGACCTAAAGGAAGTGGTTTTGAGAATTCTCTAACACATTAAAAGTGGAACCACCACCACTGGTGCAGACTTGACAGAAGGCAAAGTGTACCCAAGTAGTACTCGCCCTAGGGATTCAGTGTGCAGTGAATCCAAAGGTCTATTGACCAGAGGCCAAAAAGTGGAAAGAACAGAAGAAGCCAGCAGAGCTGTGGGAGAGCAGAAAGTTTAAGTGAGGCAGTCACTGGAGTGTTTTCTCAAATTGATTCTGTATTCATAATGCAGACCACACAGTAGCAACACAGAGCGGTCCATCCTCCACACACACTAGGCCAGGTAGCTTAGACTTCCACTTCAGTGCCTCCAAAGTCCCAGCTGACCACATGTGGGCTGAGTGACTTTGGCAAAAGTATTTAATCTCTTTGTATCTTAATTTCCTCTTTTATAAAATGTTAACAATAAAATAGCCTACTTTAAAGCTTGGATTGTGTCATATAGGAAAACTAGTTAACATAGCCAAAGCTGCTATTACCGTTGCTATTATTAGTCAATCAATTGCATTTTAATTGTGGAGCTCAAGAGATTGTTTGCTCTCACTGCTGCCCCACACACATTCACCCATGCACATTTGTGCTACTGTCTGCCTGATTAAATCTTGAGCAAGTAATACTTTTCAATAGATATTCTTTGACTATCATGGGGGTTCTGCTAATGTTGGATTTTATTCAACAATCAAATCTCGATAAATGTAACAAAACAACAAATGCATTTTAGTCCATTTTCTTTTTGATACGTCATCTCCATGTGTCTAAAGTTCTAGCTTTCTTTACATAATTACAACTCTTAGCTCTCTCCCTAGCTCAATAAGGAACTCAACGCCTCAGACTGGGCCCAGAGTTCTATGATCACCACCCTGACTCATCTATCATGGTTCAGTGTGTCCAGCTGCTAACAAGATGTCACCTCCCCAGATCATCTGACTTCTCTGAATTAGGTTTGAGTCTGTGCCTTTCTCATTAAGTAGGTTTGATAAAAAAGCAAGCTCGGAATCTGCTGCCTCCTCGCTCTTTCCCTGAGAATTTCCTTCATCTCTTCTTTCATCTGTGTAAAACTGCATATCTGGGTGCTTGCTGAGGCCAGCAGATTTTGATTGTAATTATGTCAGTAAAATTTCAACCTGATATGTCACTAATTTTTATAGAGATAATAAGACACCGTTCTTATATTATCATCATGGTTTTTATTGGTTTTCATTTTCCTACAATATAAAAATTTGTCTGTAGTTACCATGCTGCACAATGATCACCAGAATTTATTCTTCCCGTGGAACTGCAACTTTCTATTCTTTGGTCAACATTTTTCCTTTCGTCACACTTACGACTTTCCAACCTCTGGGAAGCATCACATTTTTCCCTACTCCTAAGTCTATTTAAATAACACCTAAAAATGAGAGACTGGAGGATGGAGAGATGGCTCAGCAGTTAAGAACACTGGCTGTTCTTGCAGAAGACCTGGGTTTGAATCCCAGCACCCAAATGGTAGCTAACAACTGTCCATAACTCCAGTTCCAGGGGCTCTGAGAGCTTCTTCTGTCCCCCGCGTGTATTGCACGACACAGGCGCACTTACCTACATGTAGGCAATTCATGCATATATACATGAATTAAAAATAATAAATAAAATATTTTTTTAAAAATGAGAGGCTCTAGCTGGCTTAATTTCACTAGTGTAATGCCCTCTAGATTCAGCCATGTTGTCACAAATAGCAGGATTTCTTATTTTTTCTTTTTGCAAAACCCTATCTAAAAGGATTTTTAAAATTCTCACCACAAATGATAAATATGATAAATACACTAATTCACATGATTTCATCATTCCATGATGTATTCTTGTATCAAAACACCACATTATACCCCTTAAATAAATACAATTATCATCAATTAAAGTATAATGCAATTTGAAAACTTTTGAGTAATGTCCATAGTTACATGTAATGTTGCAAGCTATGCCTTTGCTGTATGCCTTTTATATTTTTTACTTAAAAACTATTAACCACTCATTTACTTGTGTCATTCAAAAAGTATTTCTGAAAGGCCCTTAAGTGGTTAAAAATTTAAACCACACACTTTTACTTTTAGGGAATAAATTTTTAACAAAAGTGCTCAGAAATTTAGATAAATTTTAGAAGCAAAGTCTTTTATAACTTTATTATACAAATTGTGAACTATATACATTTTTGTTCATAGTATAAATTGTTCAAAAGTTTAATCTGGAAATATATCTGACAAAATAATACAGTAGTATTTATAAAAATGTCACTTACCTTCATTGTAATATTCACAATCAAGTGCTAAAAGAAAGAAGAATAAATATTAAACTACACATAAGAAGCTGAGGACTTGTCTGAATATGCATAAAACAGGGGCATGTACTTATTAATAACTACATAAAGTAACAGAATTACATCATTTTAAAATATTTTATTATTTTTATTTTATGTGTATGTGTGTATTGCCTGCATGTAGGTAAGTGCACCCATGTCGTGCAATGTCCGTGGAGGACAGAAGGGGCTGTTGGATCCCCTGGAACTGGAATTATGTCAGACAGTTGTTAGCTGCCATGTGGGTGCTGGGATTCAAACCTGGGTCTTCTGCAAGAACAGCCAGTGTTCTTAACTGCTGAGCCATCTCTCCAGCCCAGAATGACATCGTTTTTTTTTAAATTTTCATAAGCAACAATGATTGTGTGTTTGTGAAAGTGTGTATGAATATGTGTGTGTATGATGTTTTTGAGAGTCTTGCTATATAGCCTATGATGACCTCAGACTGACAGTGATTCTCTTGCCTTGGTTTCCTGGGTACTAGGAATAGGTGTCCAACACCAGGCCTTGCTCAAAGGGTATTTTTTTCTTTAGGACGATGCGTTGGAATAAATTAAACTTCATAACATTATTTTAAAGATAAGCAGTGTCTGCCAATTTAAAAACCAATTATAGAAGCTGTCCAAACTGTAATCTCTTCTTCAGCTGACTAACCACCTACACAAGCAAATAAGTGTTTAAAAGTCAAAACTGAAAGTAATTCAAGATGATTTTCAAAGAACATGTTTCTTACTATCAGAAGGATAAAACTTCACAGGTATAAGAGTACTAGAACCAGAAAGAATTTTTTTGAGGATGGTATATAATTTATATGTCAAAGTTATAGACACAGCAGTCAAACACAACAGAAAACTTAACTTTTTTCTTTTTGATATGCAATAATTTGTGATTATCAAACAAATATAAAATTTAGTCAAATAGCATTAAATCCATTTCCATGAGTTTTGTGGCAATTCCCTATGATGACTATGCATTTGAATCTCCTTCAAAATTGTCCACTTAATGATGTCCTAAGTAGGATACCCACCACAAACAGTGGGTGTCCTCCAGTGAATGGGCACCCCCTCCTGACAGCATTTGTAGGCATAAGCTGCGACACTTGTGCACAGGCATTCACAGTCCCCACCAAGGTTGCAGTTGCATGTGTCCTCATGGCAGTTTTTGGCAAAGGAAGTAACATCAATCTGAAAGTAAAATGAAAGCATAATTCCAAGAAGAACTGGTTGGGACTAAAAGTAACTGGCACTGTTTTCAGAGTGGGTTTCATCAGCCTACTTCTGCCTCCTTTCACATCCTCATCATCTCAACCCCCATGTTGCCAAAAGGGAAAAAGAATTATTACCCAAATGTCATCTCAGAGAACTAGCAAAACAAGTATGAAGAATAACAAATAGATGCCACTTTGACATCCACAATAGGGCAGATTTAGTATTTTTGGAAGTGCATTGTTTCATTATTGGCATATTCACAAAGCATCTAAAGAACACACTGTGTTTCTAAGTGCACTTTATACTTTTTATTTTTTTTATTTCTTAGTCTCCTAAGAGACAACATCCTGGTGATGAGTGGCATTGGCAGCTTCTTTCAAATGTCTCATGCTCACTTAATTACTTCCTTTGAATTGTATTTGTTAAATAGCTGGCAAAACTGAAAAGACTATTAACAATGTGTTACAAAAAAATAAGGCTTTGGTGTCAGTAATCTGTGTTTTCTGTTATAGGCCACTGCATGGATTAATTTTTCAAGGGGCAGCCAGGAGAGGAGCCACAGACTCTGTCTCGGGGTCCAGGATGGGTGCAATGTTGCTTGTCAAAGAGGTATGTCCCTAGAAGCTCCAAAAGTCTCAACCAAAGAGGCTTTTCTTAAAAAGACTTTAGGAGGGATTGGTTACTCCCATAATATTCATGCCATTATAGCAGAAGGCACATCATGCCAAGTTAGTTGTTGTTATTGCTGCAGGATTCACAGCTGGGCAAGGTTAATGATTACTTTTCTCTTCCAATAGCATGCACAGTACCCTCCAGCCCTACCTAAAAAGCTAGCCAATAGAGATTTAGCTTTGAACTCAGTGCCAACTTGATTTCTCCTTGCTTGTTCTACAGCTCATGTATGTGGTGTCTTCAGCAATAGGGTCTTACTGTCAAGTTCTGATGGGAAACCAAGAGCAGGGCAATGGCCAGAATTTTTTGAGTGTCTATGAGACCATTGGTCAGCAGCTTCGAAAGAGGGAAGCCATTCCTGGCATAGGGCTGTTATTGTATTAGCGTGTGGTACCTAGTAGGTGATGGTATTCATAAGTACCATGTAAATTCAAGCCAGACAAAATTCCAGCATAGATGTGGGGAACTGGATAAGAAACCCAACCCTATCTGAGAAAGTATTTGGCATCTGATGGCTGCTGGGAGGGTGTCTTACTTTGTTTCTCCATTGCTGTGACAAAATACTCCGACCAATACCACCAACTTGGGGAAGAAAGGGTTTATTTGTCTTACATCTCCCAGGACACAGTTCATCAAGGAGCCCAAGGTAGAAAACCAAGGCAGGAACCTGGAGGCTGGAGCTGGAGTACAGGCCATGGAGGAACACTGCTTACTGGCTTGCTCCCCGACCCCTGCTCAGCCTGCTTTCTTATGCAACACCAGCCCACCAGCCCAGGGGTGGCACCACCCACAGTGGGCTGGGCTCTCCCACATCACTCATCAAGAAGACATGTCCCACAGACATGGCCACAGGCAAGTCCAATAAAGGCAATTTCCCAATTGAGGCTCCCTCAACCCAGGATGTGTCAAGTTGACACTAAAGCTATTCAGCACAGAAAAGTCAGTCTCTTTTAAGGATGTGCCACTTGGTAGGTTAATCAAGTTCCAGTGCATGGACCCATGCTGAATGGCATTACTCATCAAGAAGACATGTCCCACAGACATGGCCACAGGCAAGTCCAATAAAGGCAATTTCCCAATTGAGGCTCCCTCAACCCAGGATGTGTCAAGTTGACACTAAAGCTATTCAGCACAGAAAAGTCAGTCTCTTTTAAGGATGTGCCACTTGGTAGGTTAATCAAGTTCCAGTGCATGGACCCATGCTGAATGGCATTTTGGGACACAATTTGACTCTCTCTCTCTCTCCATATATTTTTTTTTGTTTATATGCTGTGTGTGTGTGTGTATGTGTGTGTGTGTTTATGACAGGGTATGGCAGAGGGTCATGAAGAGGGGTGAAATAGGGGAAGGAATCTAAAAACAATCAAAATTTACTGTATGAAATTCACTAAAATTCCATTTTTTAAAAATTCCAAAAAATGTCTAGTCTGTCCATTTAATTGTAATATTGCAGTCTCAGGCTCTCTCTAAATTCCTAAAAATTTCCCCAAAGAACTTTCATTTATAGAATTATAATAGAATTATCATATTAGATATTGAAAATGAGATGTTTAAAACAATTACAGATTTATTATTACATGTTAAAAAGTATATATTTTAGAGAAAAAACTATATTTACCAAAACAAATATAAGTTAGTGAGAAGGATAAATATTTTACATTTTTGTTGATCTCTTTAATATCTGTGTAATAGCACAGCTTGAGTCTCATATCTGGCTTTCCATTTAGTCTGTAATAGTATATTTTTCTTTGGGTTAGTTTTGGTTAAAAGATGAGTAAAAGTGGAAGACAATGGTGATCAATGTCTTCTTCAGGTAACGGTTGTGACCTTCTTTGGGACTATATCAAAACTCCTATGTTTGTGACTGCCTTCATTTTATAAAAATTAGGATACAGTATGCTAGGTCATATTATGACAGTTTTGAACAAATCACGTTTTAGTGATTCCTGATATCTCTCCTGCTCTTCTGCTACCCATGATACCCCCTTGGAGCCCCCACCCCTGACTCTCTTCCTCTTCCATGTCCCGTGAGACTTTCTGCCTACTTTCTATTTTTCTTCATTGCCTATTATTATCCTACTGACATCATTTTAATTTGGGGACTTTATATACATTTACACTTATTTATATGTATACACATACACATTATAAGCTAATATGAGAGAGAGAACATGAATTTTTTAATGTGTGCAAATGTATTGCCTGCATGTGTGTAAGTGCACCCAAGTCATGCAAAACCTGCCACAGGTCAGAAGAAGGCTTTAGATTCCCTCTGGAACTGGAGTTACAACAGTTGTTAGCCATCATGTGGATGCTGGGAATCGAACCTGGGTCCTCTGCAAGAGCAGCCAGTACTCTTAACTGCTGAGCCATCTCTCCAGCCCTTTTTTTGTTTTGTTTTGTTTTGTTTTGTCTTTCTGAATATGGGTCATGTCATTTAAAATTATACTTTCCACACCCATTCATTTACCATTCAAATTTCATGATTTCATTTTTCTTTAGACCTAAATAAAATTCTATATGTGTATGTACCACATTATCATTATGCATTCATCTGTTGATGGACAGCAAGGCTGGTTTCGTTTCCTTACTGTTGTGAATAGAAAAGCAATAAAGTGGGATGTGCAAGCATCTCCGTTGGTAAGATGTGGACATTTGTGTAAATGCCCAGGAATAGTATATATGAATGGTATAGTAGTTTTATATTTTTAATTTTTTGAGGAACCTCCATACTGATTTCCAAAACAATTAGGTGTAATTTGACATCTATCTTTTGGTTGTGAGCCTGAGCTTTAATGACTGTGCCATCTCTCAAGCCTGCAATTTGACACTGGAAATTATGTAATGAACTCTGCAATTTGCTATATTAAACTTGGTTGGTTTAACTCACCTTTGAAAGAATTTGTCACTTCTGTGTGGCTCCAAAGCATAATCTATAGATCATTTGAAAAAATGTGTGGAGTACAAAGATCAAAATGCTAACACATAACAATTTCATGCAGCAGCAGCAGGTCACATTTATTCACATCACCAACGATGTTTTCAGAAAAGTATCAAAAACCTTTTAAGCACATGGTGATGGAGCCAAGTTTTTTAAAATTCTATTTTTCACCTGAAAGTACAATTTTTTTCAAGGACAACAAATGCCATCAGATGTTTTCCTTGAAGACACACACTTATTTCACCATTTTCCAAGAAAGTATCTGCCAAATATTCTTGTCTAAAAAACCATATTTGGGGGCTGGAGAGATGGCTCAGCAGTTAAGAACACTGGCTGTTCTTACAGAAGACCTGGGCTCGAATCCCAGCCACCCACATGGCAGCTAACAACTGTCTGTAACTCCAATTCCAGGGGATCCAGCAGCCTCTTCTGTCCTCCGTGGGCATTGCACGACATGGGTGCGCTTACCTACCTGCAGGCAATACACGCATACACATAAAATAAAAATAATAAATAAAATATTTTTTTTAAAAAAAGTATTCGTCTATTATTTGTTCTTTCAAGTAAAAATGGTGTTCCAAGGAAAAACTCAGTAGCCTAACACACAAGGGCCTGTTTTGAGAGCCAACAGGGTATGCAGCAGGGATGTTGCTTAGTTTTAAGAACTATATTAAACTACTTTCAGAACTTCTATTAGGACTTAAAATTATAATGTGAAGCAGGAGTTTATAAAGTTAAGTTTCTGAATACATATATTCTTAGACTAGCTTCAAAAACTATTTTAATTGTGGTAACAGGTAAACCTGTAAAACTACACTTTCATTGAGAAGAATGTCCACCTGAAATGCTCTCTGATATAACATAAGCATTTAGTCTCTTTGATCACACAATGCTGCAAATAAATCATATTTCATAAACTAGAACAAAAATTACAATTATTATTTATAAATGTACACTGTCAACTAAGCTGGAAAGAGGAAGAAAGGAAGTCAACTAAACACATCACTTATACAGAAGCACTGGCCAAGGTCCCCCTAACAACGATCGTGTTCAACACCTGGGATACATTTAAGAAGCTAAATCATTTGTTCCCCTCATCTCAGCGTATATACAGCTGTGCATCTTTACATTTGAGACTTTAGCAAAGTAGTCATTTACCACATTGCGACAAGGAGCAAAAGCATCACTGTACAAAATGGAGCATTCTTTCTTGGCGTATGGAAATTTGTTTTGATGTGCCTCACAGGGTTTCATTGTTTCAACTGGATCCTCACACTGTTAGAAAAATTTAAGGGGAAATGAAAGATTTTAAAGGCGTATGACTTGAAACCAAAGTAATCTACCTGACTTCATCCATGAACTGATTGTTCTGTAACACAGTCTCATCCTTTTAGATAGCTTTACCTACTATGTGCTCTCATCTACACAGGCTATCGGTTATTAGCATACATCACTTCTGAAAGCAACTAAGCAGAATATTAAAAATCAGAGCAATATTACAGATGATGATTCCATTTTAAATTTTCATAAATACAACATGTTCATGAAAACTTCCATGAGCTTGAATCCTTCCCTTTAATTTTCATGTTGCTCATTTTGCCACAGAGCATCTTCAGAGGAATTTGTATGTACAGAGTCTATAGTCTCCAGAGACTCTGTTTCCATATACTCCACCTTTTGACCTCTGCCTTCTCTAACATGCTTCTGAGAAACTTCTCTGAGAAAGGGCATTGACGATATACTCAATACTAATCATAGAGGCAACTTCCCAGACTGCACACACTTGACCTTTCTTACTTTTGATTCTGTCTTAAATGTCTGTTCTGATTTGGATGTTAGCACTAAAATTTCTGCTGGGTTTTATGCTCCTATACAACCGTGGCTCTTCCCCAACCTCCTGCTCCCTCCCTTCTTTGCAAAGTCTTACCCTAAAATCTCTATTTACCTCACCCAATACAGGTACCCTCACTTCAACAGCCTGAATATGGTACTAAGTGGCAAATCCTTATTTATATCCCAGGTCTCTATACTAGATTTCAAAACTGCACATTTCCACCCAACTATCTCTCAATCACATTTTTCTCAACACATCCAAAACTACAGAGCACTCTTTACTGCTGCCCTGCCTCCCTTACACACAGAGATATAACTCCTTTTTGCCTTATCTAGGGGAGAACTTCAGTATCTGAAATTTCTGATGCCAGAAGGTATAAGAAGTTTCCAAATGAACCCTCCCTATATAGTCTTTCAATAAATGCTGATATACTTCACCTTTAATGTTCCCAAGTTCGTATAGTTTCCTAATCTCCACTGACAATTTACCTGGCTAAAATATAAGAGCCTCCTGACCCTGGGCTTCTTTGTTTCAAACCTTATGTCACAACCATGTGGAACACTGTGAGATGAATTTTGTGCTCCCTGCTCTCTCTCTCCCTGCTCACACTTGCTCAGTGATGTAATCCTTTTCCTGTCATCTTTTTTCCTATAAACTTTAATTTCTTGAATCTTGTAGATACTAAAGAATTCATCTCCCAAGTACCTGCTCCAGGAATCTTACCTAGAACATTACAACCTCCTCTACCATATCTACTAAAACAACTCTATATTTCAATATATTTTATTGTTAATTTTCTACCTCACCTAATAACTTAGACACTAAGATTCCTTAAAGAAAGACAATTTTTATTCCTATTCTGTGCCTGTGTATAATGAAAAACATTGTCTTAAACAAAACTCGGTGAATGAACATAGAATAGAAAGCATTTTGCTTTGCTGGAAAAAATATGAGAGAGAAGATGAGTTAGACTGTCACTGTCCTGTCTAAAAACATGTGTTATGAAAATCATTTAACCTCCTAGAGATGCAGTTTTTTCATCTGTAAAATGGAGACAATAATTACATGGAAAAGTACATATGAAAGTTCATTAACTATCAATTAATTATAAAATATTATGAAAATAAATTTAACTTAACTTTTCCTAGGAATAATATTCTAATAAGTAAATTCTAAATTTTTGCTCTAAGATACACATATGACTTACCTGTCCCAGTGCCCAACTGTCTCCAAATACCTGAGCATTTCTCACTTCCAGATTATTAGATGTAGTCATATCATTTGAAGTACATTTGTCAAAGTTCCCACATAATCCTGCTAGCTTGTTCTAAAGTAATAAAATTATCATGAAATATTTTATAGTTAAGACTCAAATGCATTAAAACTTGAAAGAACCTCCATAGAAACCATTTAAAGACAAATGTTTTGAAGAAAATAGATTTTCATACAATTTAGTTACATTTGCAATTAAATATTTTATCAACCCTCCAATCTTATTTATCCATATTTACTAATATCTTGATATTGATATCTTTAGCTATATAGTGTATATATATATATAGGAAAATATATACACTTAACTATACTGATGTATGTATGTACATAGATATACTGATACATATATTTATGTATAAACATAAGTACCTTTTATAAACAAAAGCCCACTAGATTATATATTTAAGGTTCTGTAACACTATAAATGTTGAAACAATAAAGCATAGCAATTGAAATGGCCAGGTGAACTACTCGTGTTAACACTGTCCACTGGATTGTTTCAAAATACTGTGAAAAACAATCACTTTAGAGGAAGGCTTGATGATCTTCCACCAATAATGAACTCCTGCTTAGGGTCTCCAATTGAAGTGGTTGAACACTCTCTTCAATACTAACACATGGCATGCAGCCCTTTAAAGTAACATAGGCCACCTATGTCTCCAAGAAAGCAGACAGTGCATGAGGCCTCTGTCCTCAGAAACCATACCTAACCATGGACAATTACCACTTCTGCTCCTGGGTAAACAAATTGTACATTCATACGAGAAGTTACAGTGCAGCACTGTAAATGAACAAACCCTTGATTCACACAATATGCATGAATCTTACATTTGTTTTGCCAAATCAAAAATGTCACATCCCCAAAACTACTACACTCACAGCAAAGGTGACATAATAATGCACAAGTCCACTGCAAGCTCAGATCAGACAAAATCCCAGATAGAAATAGGGAAGTGGGTAAGAAATCACAATGCAAACCTAAGGAACTTCTAGCAATTGGTGGTTGGTGGGAAGGGAAAGACAGTGTCTTACAGGAATGGGACTCTTGGTGGGCCCACCCTGAGGTGCATTTGGGGACACAAATAGGACTCTATAGGCCATCATGTATATATATATATATTCAATAAAATTTCAATAAAAAATGTACTATACAATTCCACTTATATGATATTTGGGGGAAAAACTACAGCAATGGAAAATAAAACAGTATTTTTTGAGAGTTTAGGGACACAGTAAGTGTTGACAATAAAGGGGAAGCATGAATGAAATATGGGTGTTGGTGGACTTATTCTGTAAAGAACTATGGTGGTAGATCAGGACTCCATGCATTCTTCCAAATCCATAGAGCCATAAGGGTAATTTTAAAAAGTACTTTACTGGGCTGGAGAGATGGCTTAGCGGTTAAGAACACTGGCTGTTCTTGCAGAAGACCTGGGTTCGAATCCAAACACCCACATGGCAGCTAGCAACTGTCCATAACTCCAGTTCCAGGGGATCTGACAGCCTCTTCTGTCCTCCATGGGCACTGCACGACAGGGTTGCACTTACCTACATGCAGGCAATGCACACATACACATAAAATAAAAATAATAATTTTTTCTTTTAAACATTTAAGTACTTTACTATAATTGTAGTGTATGTAAATTTATTTTTAAATCTAAGCTATGAAACAAAATGTAGAAGAAAGATTGTAACGAATGAATCTGTTTAACAAACAAACCACATAGCCAAGCTGAAGAGAGGGGGATAAAGTAGTTGAATGAAGCAACAACTAATACTATGAGGTTAAAGTAAAAAAAGACAGCAAAATTCATCTATACTCTACAAATATCTTAATAGTTTCTTTCTTTGTACTGCTAAGTAGTACTCTGCCGTGTGGTTGCACCATAATTCTATGAAGCTCTGTACTCCAATTGGTGAAATTCTTAACATAGGCTGTGATTAAGAATTTTGAAGATATAGCCTAGTTGAAACATATCTTTCCTGTATAGTTTACAAAACCTCAAGAAATCCTTTAAAAAACAAATTTGTCTAACAATTTGTTCAATTGCTTTTTTCTACCGAACAGCGAAAGGTAAAGATAACTCATTTCTTGCTTCTCATTGGGAGGTTAGGTTGCCTACCTTCCACTGTGGCCCGACTTTGATATGAATACTTGTCTTTTTATCCCACAAAATGGTGATGTCTTGCTCTGGGAAATACACTATTATGTAGAATCCGGCCTTCCAAAGCTGATATGTAGGCTTGCTTTCCAGAAAAAAAACTGATCGTTTCTTCCAAAAAGATAAAATTTTAAAAATGAATATCACATTCTTTAACCAAAATGTAAAAAATGTTAAATTAATATCTCTAGTCTAAGTGGTTATCTATTTGTTGATCATAACTTTCCTGAATTGTCTAAGACAAAACCAATATATTAAATAAGAAATGTAATGAATTGATATATATTTGCAAACTAACTGATGTGCTCAACATTTGCCAATGAGAATGACCACAGAGGACACAGAGGGGTGGAAATTCTATACTAATGGTGAGCACAAAGGGACTGAGGACCAAAAAGCATGTCCTTCCCTTCAAAACAGAAATTTAGCCTTGCTTATGTCTTGAGGAAGTTAAATATAGCAGAAAAGTAGTTTACTGGTATTATCAAAATTTTGTTGAAAACAGAATTACTACATTTAATAAGAGACAATGCCTTTACAATCCAATTAAAATTTCTAGATGAAATAGTCTGATCATTAAAGAAACGCAAGAAATACATATTCACACAAATGCACACATGTGAGTACACATAAGCATTATGTGTATTGAGAGAGAAACTATCAGTCAGACAGAGGAGAGAAATTATCATCAAAGGGACCTAGGAAGACTTCCTTAAAAGAGGCAGAAAATAAATTTATCTGTCAAAAGCCATATATGGGAAGGGACATAAAACTGGGAAAGGGAATGGGGAAGACAAATGAAAGAGATGATTAAAGAAAGGCTTAGGACTAAGCAAAGCTCCAAAGGGCCAGAGCATAGGTTACATGATAAAGCATAGTGTGAGAGCTCTGCACCCAAGGTACCCTAACAGAGTAACTATCACATGTGCAAACTATAATCAATAAAGTCATTCAACAGTGAAGTGACAGTCTATGGTTTGAACATTAAAAGGAAATGATTTATATACCAGAAAGGGTAAAAGTGACATTAAATATGTAACACATTTGGGAAATTAGAGGGCCTTTAATTAAAACTAGGACCCTGAAATTTGTTTATAATTTTGAAAATACATGGTGGTGTCAAAGTGAGTAAAACTAACTTATCCAGAAGAAAAACAAAAGTTAGAAGGTAATATGAAATTCTTCATTCTTTTTCTCCCACCACAGATTTTAAGTGAACATTTCAAACTATAAATGGAATAAATATAGCCATATCCATAGAGTTTTCCATCTCTTATGCCAATTATATTTGTAACAGGTGTATGTTAGATAAAAAGGTGGCAATGGTGGGAATCGCCGCAAAACAGAAGCAAAGAGGACTCAGGCAAAGCAAAAGATTAATGGGTTTGGCAGGGCTGGTTCTCAACTTGGCTGTGAGGAAGAACCAGCAGCCTAAGGGCTGCAGGGGGTTAGTTTATAAAGAGACAGAATGTGGAAAAAGAGAATAGTTTTTCTGCTGTTTGGGGCTGTTTGGGGGGCTGCTTGCTCAGGGAGGGAGTGGGGTCTGTACCTCCTGAAACTTATTGAGGAAAGCATCTACAGTAAAACGTTTTCTACAATAACAGGGTTCCAGGAACTCATAGAAGCTAAAGGCTTAGGAAACCTGTTTGTCAGCCTGTGGAGTCTGCTCTGGTGATCACAATACCTTGGGTCATTAATTCCCGGAGCTGCTTTTGTCAGCTTGCAGGTGGCTGGGAGTTAGCTGACCCAGTTCCTCTTAGGGGCCTTATGGTTTCTGGGTCTGGGGTCATGTGGATCTGAACCCTATCAGTATGCATACTATATTGTACAGAACAGACATAACCATGTATGTTGTTAACTGGTTGGACTTAATCTCAAATTCTTCTATGCCCCAGTCTTCTATCCTCATTGGATAGGCTAATCAAGTTTGAAACATCTCAAGCCCTCTACACTTGATAGTCCTCCTACTATGTACTCTTGTCCCAGGGTTTGACATAATTGCTTCATTCCCTTCACTGGTGACTCAAATGTTTCCTTCATTGTGAGGATTCTCTGGTCTTTCATTCCCAAAAGGACTGGAATGCCAGGCCCACACTTGAAGTTTTAATGCTCTGTAATTGCCATCTTGAAATTCAAATAACTTTACATTTGAATTTGTGTTTTGCAAGCCAAGTCCCAGAGGATAAAGAACGGGCACTAGTGCCTTGGTACCCTACCTCTCAGGCCTGGGTCTCAGCTTCCTGCTTCTTGCCCACCACTTGGGGACCACTGCTACCCTCCATCCACAGCACGAAGGCAGGACAAGGTTAGGCAGGACATGTGGACCCAAGTACCAAGTTAGAGTGACTGGAAGAGGCCCTCAGCACTGGGTCTGTCCTCACCCTGAGAGGACAGCTATACCCAAACCAGCACAGATCAAGTGATAAATTGAAAAACACTCAGACAAGAGAAACCAAGGGGGGAAATATTTTTTTTTTCTGTTTTGAACAAAAGACCCCACATTTTCATTTTGTGGTGCCCCCAAAATTTGTATAACCAGCTCTGCCTCCAAGTCACCCTGCCACAACAATTTTTATCTTTATTTCACATTCTAGTAGATTTGTATGGTCTGACTGGTCTTCATTGTTTTCCCCCAGAATGTTTGTTTTTATTCACTTATTCTGAATCGAAAGCATGTCTTTTCTCTTGCCCATTAGATATGAAATGCTTTGTTTCATTAGACAAGGCAGCTTGCTAAAAGAGCATCCTTCTTAATCAAAAGGAGTTACTGCACTCCTTACTCTCCAGATTAGCAGCTAATGCTTCTTAGAAAAGTAAGTAATGAATTGTTCATAATAGAAACATTCGCTTTACTTAGGTATATTTCAAACAATCTAATGCTGCTAGAAAAATAAGGTAGAAATGTAGATAATGAAGACATTTTAAAGCACAGCTTAGGTAAATTTATAAAATGCTTTTTTATTTTCACAATGATTGAATTATAATTGTGTTTTATATACAAAGCAGAGGAGAGTTTATTCATTTCAAGGGTGAGCAGCCCCTCCGTGGTGAAGTGGCACTTACTATATTATAGTTCACTTATGATCTTCCAGAAAGATGTATTAGTTGGGGACTTGTTGGGATAAAACTATTTTTTATGACTTTTCTTAATCTTACTTCATTCTTAACAATCTAAATAAAGGGAATTCATTAACACCTTCACACAGGTGAAAATTGAAAGCTGAGAGTTACACAGAGCTGTAATTACCGCCTCAAAAATGTGCCAACTGTCTTTATATGGGCATGCACTAATTTCTCTCCTTTTAAAAATATAATACCCTTGTTCCTAGAGAGAACCTTCACCTATACATGAATATCCAGCTGATGGCTAGGCCAAATGTCTGTAATTATTTCTAAAGAAATGTCAACATGACTGTAGAAGCTATTTTGTCCACACTGATTGCTGCAAGGTTACTCTTGATGTTTCTACCTGCTGCATATGCTGTGTCCTAGAATACTAGTTCTCAAACTTTAGTACAAGAATTTGGGATACTACAGAACAAATACAGCAAAATTGGCAAAAAGGGACCAGGGGCAGAACAGCTTACACAAATTATAGGGTGTGTATACAATGAAAATGTGGGGGTTTTGTTTAAAACATAAAAAATGAAACTACTTTGTGGGGGAAGGGGCAGGGGGTGGTTCATGGTTTCTCTTATCTTTCATCTCATTTCAGCCTCAGTTCTTCCTGGACCTGAGCACAGGCCAGAAACCAGCACCTACAACAAATATCCAGATTATTTTAGTAAAGATGTTCTGCAGAGAAAACTTAGAGAATATGTTCTAGAAATTAAGTTTTGAAAGCCACCTTTTAAGGACCATTTAACAAATCATCCACCTCAAAACTCCAAAATTTCTTGTCTTTAAAATGAAGTTCAGGGGCTGGAGAGATGGCTCATCAGTTAAGAGCACTGACTCTTCTTGTAGCAGGCCTGGATTCAGTTCCCAGAACCCACATGGCAGCTAACAACTGTACATAACTCCAGTTCCAGGGGATCCAACACTCTCTTCTGACCTCAGCAGGCATTTCACCATGACACAGGTGCACTTATATACATGCAAGCAATATGCTGATACACATAAAAAAATTATTTTTTTTAATTTAAAAATAAAGTTCAAATGTCTTAGGCCATTCAAGAATTTCCACAGTCTGTGACCTGAACACTTCACAAGCACTTTTGCTCCCACACCTCCCCTTCTAGTCAATAGGGACACCCTTTCCTGGGTCTCTTTACCACACCTGCCATCTATCATCCCACAGACATTGTTTCAACGGAACTAAACCACTTACTATTACCCAGCCCTGACATTTTATCTTCCAACCCTGCTCCTCTGAATGTAATCCTTTCTCTACAATGTCATGTTGCTCCTTCTCTTCATCTACTTATCTACTAGAAGATCTACTTATATTCTAGGATTTAGTCCAAATCGTTTCATCTGCAGCATGTCTCTGGATGAAATAAAGATGATGAAAAAGAGAAATATTTCTAGAAATTCATTATTTCATACTTTGAGTACAATCCTCAGAGGAACTGAAGAATTGAAGTCTGTAGTCATGCTAAATGTACATGTGGGAAAGCTGCAGCTTGGGCAAGTCAAGTAAACTTTACCAGAGTGCCTCAACCAAGAGGTGGCATACAGCACTGCTAACTCAGTTCTAAGTGACTCCCTGGTCTTTGCTCCTAAAAAATCCACAGTTGCTCTAAGAGTTTTTCCTAGGAGTTCTCCTAGGAGTCTGTGTAGACTCTACCATAGCACACACATTGCCCATCCTTATTTACCTGAATGAATCCTTCACTGGAGTATGTTACTTAACAGTAAGCAGTGTCTTTTCACTATTACAGCCTAAAAATTTAGCATGCGTTTTGATGTACCATAGATACTATGAATGAATGAATAAGTGAGTAAATGAATGAATGAAATTAATTCCATCTTTTAATTTGGGCAGGCTCCCAGAATACAAGAATAAATGAAGGAGATAATGATCCTAGTATTTTTGTTTTTTGTTTTTTGTTTTTGGTTTTGTTTGTTTGTTTTTTTTTTAATTTTATGTGTATGCGTGTATTGCCTGCATGTAAGTGCACCCATGTTGTACAATGCCCACGGAAGTCAGAAGAGGCTGTCAGATCCCCTGGGACTGGAGTTACAGACAGTTGTTAGCTGCCGTGTGGGTGCTGGGACTCGAACCCGGGTCTTTTGCAAAAACAATCAGTGTTCTTAACCGGTGAGCCATCTCTTTACATAGCTCATAGGCAGATGGAGAAGATAGATAATCACAGTAGGAACTTCACTAAGGTCTGATAGTTATCTAGCAGGGTCCTTGAGAGCACCCTGGGGAAGAGTTTCCTAAGAAAGGTAGGGCATATTGTCAGAATGAGCTAAATGGAAAGATGGATTAAGGTAGGGGATTCACTTTTCCCAAAGGCCAAGAGGGGAGCACAAAAAACTTAGAATGTGTAATCAACTGGAAAAAGATCCAACTTCTGGGACACGGACTTGAAAGGGAAAGAAACAAGATATGAGGCAGGAAAGGTGAACAACAGCCAACTAGCAAGGCCTTAGAAAGGCAATGGAAAGACATCTGGAAATTTTGAAAAACTAGACAAATGGACAGATCTCCTGTGGGAAACCACTGTGGCTGCAGTTGATGGGACAGATTAAATTAGAGGAACTTAGTCTGGGTATCAGGAGTACAGATTGGAAGTTTAGTGAAGGTATCCATATACCAGGTATTTGTTGCTAGGGCCAGAATGGTGACTATGGGAAGGAAGAATAATGTAGATAAATGAAATGTGTAGATATAGAGTACAAACAGAAGAGACAAGCAATACATGATTTACTGAAACCATGTAAAACTATGCAGAAAAAATATCTAGATCTTTCAACCAGTTACTGATAGAGAAATCCTAATCATTTCTATTCTGCTTTCAGTATCCTCACAGCAGGCTATGCTGATCCTAAAAGAAAGAATTCACTAACCTGTTTTTCAGGAGTGTCATTCAGGTAAATTTCAGTGTCTCCAATGGATATCAAAACATTTTTAGAACAAACAATCTCGTTGTCAAAGCATTTCTTATTCTGGGAAATCACAGATATATCTGAATCATCTGTACCCTGAAATATGTCAAAAACATCTTATTGGCACAAATGCATACTTTTGCAAATATATTTACAAATATGTTTTTATTAATAAACTTAAAAAGACTAAGATTTATAGTGACTTAGAGTAGAATTGAAAGAGATCTTACTTCTAAAGCAAAAATTTTAAAAATATTTTATCTAATAATGTGAAAATATTTTATACACAAAATCTCAGTGTTTAGATTTCCAGCCTCTAACAACTATTAAAATTTTGTTATAGCAAAGAGTTTCAGGTCCATTTTATTACTGTAGATCAATTTATTTGCCACTATAATTTTCTTTAGCAATATATAACCATTAATGTAGTAAGTAACTTAGAGTGATCTTTGCTTATTTTCATTTTAGAAAATATATCTTTTGCTTTCCTTTAGAGAATTTTCTGGTTGGTTATTGCCTGTAAGGTAGAACTGAAGAATTGACAAAATCATGGCATGTATTGATAGACAAAATACATTTTATTTACCATAAAACTCAAAGTACATTTTGAGGGTGTACTTTGAGTTTTATGGTATCTTATTTAATTCTCTTAATATTTGAATTTGACTTTGATCTAAAATGAATATTTTACAGAGCAGGAAACTGAGGTTAAGGGTAATAATTGGACACCCTCTTCTCAGCACCAGAGCAGGTGCAAGCCATTTTTTTTGAGGGAGGTAGACAGCAACATTTTATAACAGAAGAAAATGGTGTAACATATAAAAGATAAGCAAAGAAAGAAGACGTAAGAAGAGGATCAATACAATGGGGTGAAACATACCACACATGTACACATCTGTCAGATCGTAAGGGCTTTGTAATATTGACTTATTTTATTCTTTGACAGCTTTACTCATGCATACCCTGAGTTTGGGGCATTTTCCCCCCATTTGCCTCCTCATTTCCCCATTTAGCCCTCTGAAATCCTTCTTCTTAGAAACCCCAATCCTACTTTGATGTCCTTCTTCTTCCAGCCACTGAGTTTCACTGTAACTGTGATTTCTTGCATAAAGATGAATGAGGAATTATTTACTGAAATATGGTCGATTTATTAGTGATTATACCACTGACAAAAATGACACACACACACCCCGAATCCATTAGATACTTATAATCCCTTAGGGAGTGGTGGGACCTTATGAGTTCCTCTCTCATGAATGATGAGTGGTGACAAGCCCAACTGTGTGCACGTCTTGTGCAGGTAACCACAACTACATAAAGTTCACAGGGGGCAAAACCACGGCGTGCCCAGGAGACACTGTTTTGCAGAATTCCTTCCCCATCTCTGGTTCATATATTCTTTCCACTTCCCACGTCTGCAATGTTCCATGCTCCTGGAAGGGGGTGATGTAAATGGCCTATTTAAGCCCCAGTACCCCCACAGTCTCAGTCTCCATACTTTTAAAATATTTTATTTATTTATTTTTAACTTTAAAAAAACTTTATTGAGAATTTCATACATGCGTATAAGGTGTTTTGATCAAATCCACTCCCACTCCCTCCCCTCCAACACCTCCCATATCTCCCTATCATTTTTTTTCTGGCAACTTCGTGTTCTTTCTTTCTTTCTTTCTTTCTTTCTTTTTCTTTCTTTCTTTCTTTAATGGGGCTTTTTGCTACCTAACATTACCCCCCTCTGAAGAGGTAACCCTAAAATCTTTTAAGGATTAGATACAAGCTCTCAAATGCTTTTGTCATTTTTGCCCTTTGGAACAGAGTATGTTGCTAAGAAGCCCAAGGATATTTTGACTTTTAGCCAAGAAACGGGATACTTACTTTTGGGGTGTTTTTTTTACCCTAACTTCCTAGCCAATTCCTACCTCCTATTCTTATCATACCAACCTCTGAAGAGGTTACCCAAATTGCTGATAGGGAATCAAGACACAGAACACTCTGGCTTCTTCCATGCTGAACAGGGATACAGGGTGAGGCAATTGGAGTACCCCTTTAGTGGGTCTATCTAAAAGACTTCCAAATTGCATATCTCTTATCTGTAGGGAGAAAAGAAAGTCCTAGACTGGTGAATAGGGGATGTGAAGGAGAAGTAAAGGCAAGAGTAGCTAGTATTACAAGTTCTAGATGGAGAACCAGAAAAAAGTCAGAACAGGGCAAATTTCAAATGTTCATATCAGAGTCCATTGCGATTTCTTGACAAGAGTTTCCAAAAGCATCCCTCTAATGGGTTCCTCCTTATTTTCCTTTTGTCTCCCAAGGTGGACTCAAGAGTGATGGATTCAGGATTTGCTTTCAGGTATTTTGACAGCTGTTGTAGTGGTTAGAATCAGTGTCAGTTCCCTCTCAAAGGCTTCTACATAGGAGGAGAAAACAAATGTATCCATCATTTTAGAACAACAGTGGGTTAACTCCCTTGGCTACAGATGGGCACTACAGTATTACAAACCAAGATTTGAAGTCTTACATTTGAGCAGCACTTTCTGAGTAGGAACAAAAGGATCAATGAAAAATAATTGTCTAAATAACTTTTTATGTGGACTTAATCCTAATATCTGGGAAGTGTAATCCCTTGAACTCTTAAAGAAATATACTGACCACTTTACTCTTTGCTTATACTCTCCTTTTGGGTGTTTAAGACCATACAGTTGTCCCAAATAAATCAATTTATATTTACACTCAAGGTCATTTGAGGATCTGTTCCTCAAGGGTCACATAGGCTTGGGACCCTGGCTCCTTTCTTTTACCAGTTCCATCTATGTGAAGATAAGTCAAAGGTCCTGCTCGACCATATCTGGCTTTACTTAGAAGCGTGGATGATATGTTTCCTCTGAGTTGACCCTCCTCTTTGTAGACTGAACACTGGTTCAAGTCCATCTTATGGGGCCTCCATGGTCTCCCTGAACAAGAAGACAGGTGACTCACCACAGTTACAGGATATTTTGAGAGATGTTCTATTGTCTGCTGGAACTTAGTCAACCTTGGAGGGCAAGGGACAAAAACTGTCCTTTAAGTCCCTCTGACCAGATTAGTATAGGCCTCAAAGTACGGCTGTTAAACATCCAATAAGGTAAGTTCCACCAGTCGGATATTTTTAATTACCATGCACTATGTAGACAAAGCTTGGGTGAAAAACCAAATATTCTCAGATAAACCTTGACTAGATGTATATTTTGTTCCTTAAACTGGTTGCCTAAACTATGACCTTAGAAATTTCAAGATTATGTGTATATTATTTTTGTCTCATCCTTTATATATCATAACAAACCTGCACAGACCTAAATCACTTAGTTAGGTTTTCTCATTTTTTTCTGTCTATTGTGGAAAAGATCTCCATTCCCATATCCTTTTAACATCTTTTACATTCTCATTTTCTTTTTTTAAAAATAATTATGAGACATTAACAAATAAATTTTCCATCTGTTGTGAGAATTCTTTTTCTGGAGATATTAAGCAATGCTTATTCCCTTTTAAGATTCTATTGTCAAACCAATGTTTGATTAAAGTTTTACTGAGGAACCAATGAATTTTTTTAGCTTACTTAACTGAGATAACTGAGGGGTTGCTGAGGTGTATGTATGACCTGAGGGTATGCACACTGGAAAGCCTTTACCCAGCATGGGTCATGCCTTCTCTTCCTAACCTTCCCCAGATTGTATACTTTAGCGCTCCCCAAATTCAGGAGGACATGCGTGATTAGGGTGAAATTACATTCAGTGGCTGGGAAGAGTGGCTGGATACTCCAGTGAGGGTCCAATGACCCTGTTTGGGCCTCCTTTAATGAATGAGCACAACTGTCAACAAGCCCAATTGTGATGATATTTAGCGATCAGGCCCAGCTGAAGTCATGATGATGGTAGTTATTTCATGCAGAAGGGACGGCACAAAAAGACATGGAATTTAAAAGGATTTGGTGTTAGGATCCACATATGTCATTTGTTTTTCTGAGTCTGTGTTACTTCAGTTAGTATAACAGTTTCTAGATCCATCCATTTACCTGCAAATTTCATTATTTCATCTTTCTTTACTGCTGAATAGAACTCCATTGTGTAAATATGCTACATTTTTGTTATGTGTATGAGTGTATTGCCTGTATGTAAATAGGTACATCCATGTTGTGCAGTGCCCATGAAGGTCAGAAGAGGGTGTCAAATCCCCAAATCCCCTGGAATTGGAGTTACAGACAGTTTTGTTGGCCACCATGTAGGTGCTGGGACTCAAACCCAGGTCTTCTGCAAGAGGAGCCAGTGTTCTTAGTCACTGAGTTCTCCAGTCCCTCAATCTCCATACTTTGACCAATGAGTCACTGCACTAACTGCTGCTCACTTCAAAAAGATGCTTTTTAAGGAAGGCTGAGAGCAGCACTAATCTATGAGTATAGACATGAGCATTAAGAAGAAAGAAAGAAAAAAGTAGCTGAGCAAATCAGGGGAAGCAAACCAGTGAGCAGCATTCCACCATGGTCTCTGCTTCAATTCCTGCCTCCAGGTTCCTGCCTTGAGTCCTGCCTTAGTTTTGCTCAACAATAGACTATGACTAGAAATTGTCAGAGGAAATAAACTCTTCTCACCCTACCCCACCCCCAAAGGAAGGCAGCTTGACAGAAAGCAGAACAGAAGGAATTCTCCACTCACCTTGGCTCCTAGCCTATGTGATACAGTTGTCCACATTCAAGATCCTCCAGTCCCTCTTTAACTTTGTCTTGAAATGCCCCATAAACATACCCAAAGGTGTCCTTTCTGAATGTCCTACTTGCTACTCAATCCAGTCACACTCATAATCAAGAATAACTATTAATTCTCACTAGGAGTAAGGGTTCCCTCTCTATACATTTTTCCCAACACTTATCTTTAGTCATTTTGGTAAGGGCTCTTCTTACTGGGGTGAGGTGACACCTCATTACAGTTTTGCTTTCCTTGGTGATGTATTGTAGACTTTTTTTCATGTACTTGTTTATTTTTATTGAGATATGTCTTTTCTTGAGAAATGTCTCAGTCTACTGCCCATTTTAATTGGATTATTTGTCTTAATACTACTGAGTTTTT